TATAGATGTGTGTTCGTCTCAGCACGTGTATTTAAACAAGTGCTTGTGTAGATGTAGCAATACTGTGTACAACGTTCTCTACGTAAATGTATGATCAGATGACTGGCTGCGAATACAATAATAATGAGCTGCCTGGCGCGGAACACATATAAATGTACATGCGTAGCTCTGTAAGTGTCTCTATAGATCCTTCTCTGTTTCTCTTTAACTCCCTCCCCCTCTACAACGACATACATACGTATATATACATCTATATATAGTAAGCACATACGTGTACACGTTATAGATTGTGAGTAAGTGTTGAGATCTCCAAGGACCGATTCAAATATCACCGTCTCTCTCTCTCTCTTTCTCTCTCTCTCTCTCTCTCTCTCTCTCTCTCTCTCTTTGCACATACATACATACATACCCACCCATCAAATGAAGCAGATGTGTAAATGTATCTATATATATAAGTATAAAAGTACGTATACGAATATAAACATGAAAACTGCGCGCAACTATACTTATGTATTGATGTATGCATGTGTATGTATGTATGTACGTACGTATGTATGTATGTATGTATGTATGCGTATACATATATATATATATATATAATATCACTCTCCGTCGTTTTCATCCCCCCGGTTCCCCAAGTCCCGAATACATCTCTCCTGTCCTGCGTTCCGCTTCCCAACTCCAGGCTCCCAATTCCAAACTCACGGCTCCAAGTTCCAATTTCCCGGTTCCCGGCCTGGCTCCCAGCTCCCGGCTCCCGGTTCCAACTTCCCGGCTCCCGGTTCCCGGCTCCTGGTTCCCAGTTCCCGGTTGGGTCCCAGTTCCTGGCTCCCGTCTCCTAATTCCCAATTCCCAGCATTGTGTTTTCACATGGAAAACATGAAAAAACTAGAAAAACATGTGACTGCCTCTGTTTTGATACTGCGTCGGCCTTTACAAAAAGATTCCTTTTGTGGCAACCGGACAAAAGGGTTGAAAGTGTAGTGGATCTGCAGTGGCCTCCACAATTAGAACCCTGTTGCAGCCGCCTTCACAAACGGATTCCTTGTGCCGCGGCCTTACACAAACGTTGCAATTGTGGGGGATCTGCGTTGGCGGCACCTCGAGCCCAGGAAAGCCAATGCGTTAAACCCATGAAAAAAGTTTGTGTGCTCACATGAAGAAAAAACCCAGAGAAAGCTAGGGAAACCTGTGACTGCCGCTGTTTCGACCTTACAAGAGGATTGTGAATGTGGAAGACCTGCAGTGACCTCCACAATCATAATTCTGTTGCAGAAACCTGTACACAGGGATGCCGTGTGTGGCGGCAGTACCCAAAAAATATCTTATGCGTGGGGGTCTGCAACGGCGGCACCTTGAGCCCAGGAAAGCGAAAAAAAACAGGAAACAGCCTGTGCTTGCAATGAAAAAAAGGGGGGGGAAAAAAAACAACAAAAAATGTTCGCTTTTTCGATTGCGCAGATGACCTGCAATTGAAATCCTTGTGTTGCGGCCTTTGCGAAATGATTCCTTGTTGTGGCGGCCTTACAACACGATTTAAAGTGTGAGGGATCAGCAGTGACTTCCACAAGTAGAACCATGTTGTAGCAGCCTGTACAAAAGGGACTCCTGTTGTGGCGGCCTGACCAAAACCTTTGATTCACGGTTTCTTGCGGTGCCGAGATCTCCGCACAATTTAAACTGTAAAGTGTCACTAAAGGAACGGATCCTTTTGCACAGGCTGTTACAAAATGATTCTTATTGTGGAAGCCACTACAGACCCTCCACAATTAAAATCATTGTGCGGGGTCGCCACACAAGGACTCCTTTCGTAAAGGCCGCTACAAAGGATTTTACCTGTAGATCATCTGCACCCTAAAAAGAGCGACAGTCACATGCTTTCCTCGCTTTTTCTTGTTTTCCATGTGGAAACAAACATTGCTTCATGTTGTTCCGTTTGATCCTGGTTTCCTCTCTAGCTTTCCTGGGCTCAAGGTGCAGCCGCTACAAGCCTCCTACAATTGAAACACTTGTGTAAGGCCACCACACAAGATATCCCTGTACACAGGCTGCTACAACAAGATTCTACGTGTGGAAATCATTGCGGCTCCTCCACACTTAAAATCCGTCTGTGGTCACCACAAAGGAAATCCGGCTGCAAAGAACGCCACAAAAAGTAGGTTCATCACCGATCACCTGCACCATAAGAATAGCGACAGTCAGAGGTTGTCCTTAGTGGTTCCTGTTCTTCCCTGTGAAAACACATGTTTGTTCCATGTGTGTCCTATTTTGGTCACGTTTTCCTGGCAAGCTTTCGCGGCCCGACGGCTCTACCTCTGGAAATCCATTGCAATCAAAATCAAGCGGTAAATTGATTGCAATGTGATTTCATGCGTGTGGGTGTACGCATTGAATTTGATTGTGTGGATTTCGAAAATGATTGTGATTGCATGGGTTTTCGATTTGAACTTGAAGCGTAGGGGATCCTAGTGGCGGCGCTGTGGGGCCGCGGAGGCTTACCAGGAAAACAAGAAAAGCATGAAAAACATGAAAAACATTAGAAAAGGCCTGTGTTGACACATGGAGAAACAAGAAAATATATCAGAAATCTGAAAAGCTGTGGCTCTTAGTGTTTGTACTTGTTACACCAATAAAAACGCTGGCAGCCACAGTTTTCCCACCGTGCTTCCTACGTTCCCATGTGAAAAACACATGTTGTTTCCTGTGCGTCCTGTTTTGCAATGTTTCCTTGTAAGATTTCGCGGCCCGGCGGCGCTGCCTCTGGAACTCCATTACAAGCAATATCAATGTGTAACTGTATTACACATTGATTTCATGTGTGGTGATTTACGAAATGAATTTGGTTGCGTGAATTTTCAAATTGCTTTTGATTGTACGGGCTTTCAGATTAAAGTTGATTGTGTAGCTTCCCAAATTGAAGTGTAGGGAAGCCTGATGGCGGCGCCATGGGACCGGGGAAGCTTACCAGGGAAACATGAAAAAATAGAATGGCCTGTGCTGTCACAATGAAAAACACAGCAACAAAAAAAACTCAGGAAAACATGTGAATGTTATTGGTTTAACTCGTTGCACACATAAAAACGCTGACAGCCACAGTTTTGTCTCAGTCGTTCCTGATTTCCCACGTGGAAGCACCAGCTTCTTCAGGTGTTTCATGTTTTCCCCGTTTTCCTAGTAAGCTTCCGCGGCCCCACGGCGCCGCCTTTGGAAATATATTGCAATCAAAATCAACGGGTAAATGGATTACAAATTGATTTTGTGTGTGCACAAATTGAATTTGATTGCACGGGCTTCAATTGAATTTGATTAAATGGTTTTCACATTGTTTTTAGGTGTAGGGAATCCTAATGGCGGCGCCGTGGACCGCGGAAGCTTACCAGGAAAACAAGAATAAAGCATGAACCACATAAAACAGCCTTTTTGTTTTCACTTGGAAAAGCAGGACGCACTGATTTTAACAAAATTGGCTGTCAGCGTTTTTTATTGGCGCCACCAACGAAAACACTAACAATCACAGGTGTTCCTCAAATTGTCATCTGACTCTCCTGTTCTTCCATGTGAAAGCAAGTGTTTTCCTGTTGTTCCGGTTTGTCTTGTTTTCCTTGTAAGCGTCCGCGGCCCCGCCGTGCTTTCTCTGGAAGTCCATTACGGTGAAATTCAATGTGTAGCTTGAATAGAAATTAATTTTGTGTGGTGATTTACACAATGAATTTGATTGGGGAAATTTTCGAATTGATGATTGATCTTAAATGTGGAGATATCAGTGGCCAGCGCTGTGGCAAATCTACACGTGAAAGAATGAACATGTGCAACAAACGGCACATGTAGGTGTAATCGCACGAACGGCGGGTCCTACGGGGGGGCCACGCCGCCGCGGCTGGCGCCGCCTCGAGAGTCCTGGTCGGATGGAGCCTGCGCACCATTGCCCGCGGCATGTGCGCGGACGGGGGGGAGGGACCCGGGGACGCGTTGAAAGCAGAGGAGAGGGCCATGACATCTGTCCTGTGGCAATTCATGGGAGCCTCCCATACCATCTTGTCGGCTCTTGCGAATCGACGCTGGTCGACGCTAGTCGACGCTGATCGACGCAAGATCGACGCGAACCAACGCTAAATCGGCGCTATCTCATCGACTCCCAGACGCTGATCGACGCTGAAAACGGAATGAAAAAAGGGTATACCAGGCCCCCATGATTTGCCAACGACGGACACCGCTTCTGCATGGCGAACAGCTGAACTGTGCAACACCAGCTGCCGCAGAAGCTGCCAGGCGGCGCCCGCGTCGACACGGAAGCCGGGCGCGACATCGGGTGGGGAGTCGAGGCCACGCCGATCTGAGGGCGCGGGACGCTCGAGATACGAGGCGTCCTGAAAAGTCAGGGCGGCCGGAGTTTTTAAGCTTGGGCCTCCCGGGCCTTACCCAGGCACCAGGGCAGGAATTGCAGCGCGAAATCCATGGGAACATTGGGGCCGAGAGCTTCGCGCTTTGGAAGAGAAGAAGGAAAAGGGGGAAACACGCACACGCAGACCCCAAAAAAATGTGTTGGCATCGCGGCCACGCACGCGGCGGCGCCTCAAAGGTCAAGTCATACGGGCGCGCGCGGGCTGGGCCAGCTCACGCAGCATAGAGAAGCTGGATCCACGACACGCGCACACAGACACAAACACAAAACACTCAAGTCTGAACGTCTGGTATCTGGAGCCATGGACGATCGGGCAAGACAGCAGACCGAATCAACTTGACCGAGGGAGCAGACGGAAGGCGTCGCATGAGAAACGCTGGCCGGCTATCACAGCAGTTCCTGATCCCACAGCGAGCCAGCCATTCTCACCAGCCGCTCTGCATGTTGGGACGCGGGAGCTGAAAAGCTGAGCCTTCGCCGAAGCACCAGGGGAAAAGGGCCGTGCTGGGGGACGGGGGCACGGCTTACTGGCTCTCGGTGCAACAGCGGGACACAGTGCTGTGAGAGGTGGGTGCCCCATGGGCTGCGCGGATGCCGCCTGGAAGTCGCACAAGAAGCCAGGCTTCTGGGGGTCGCCCAGGAAGTAGTCTGGCACCTCGCTCGGGCACACAAGGACGACTGTAAGCGACTCAAAGCAGAAGAAAAGAAAACGGCGTCGAACGGACAAGAAGAGCTCCAGAGGCACGGGTTCGGGCGAGGAGCAGGGGGAAGGAGCAGCAGAAAAGGAGAGGATGAGTGAGGAGATTCCTATCAGGTCCCAGGGTCGCCTTCAGGTTGCCTCTGGCATTTCGTGACCCGCTAAAACAACGAGAGACGGAGGACAGACCGCACCGACGCACACCCACCCACCTGACCCCCTACCCAAACAACAAACAGCATCAATGTCATCATCACCACCACCACGATCATCATCACCACCACCACCATCACCAGCACCATCATCCACCATCATCATCCTCATCATCATCATCGTCAGCAGCAGCATCCGCATCAGCATCAGCATCAGCATCATCAGCATCATCGTCATCAGCAGCAGCATCAGCATCATCATCATCACCAGCATCATCATCATCATCATCAGCATCATCAGCATCATCAGCATCATTATCATCATCAGCAGCATCATCATCAGCATCGTCATCGTCATCGACATCATCAGCATCATCATCGCCCCCTCCTGCTCCTCGCCGTCCCCCCTCGAGGGCACGGCGCCTCCTTCGCGGCGCTCGCGCCCGCCGACGCGCCGGGGCCTTTCTTCGCGAGGCTGTGCGCACCACCTCGGGGGGGGAAGGGGGGCGCCTTCTGGGGCCGCTATTGGTTGCCAACTACGGCTTGGGGCCCTCGTGGGGCCCGCGCAGGACTCCCTTGGAGCCCTCTGGGGGTCCTCTGAGGCCGTCTCTGGCCGCTGCTGGGACGGTCTTGGAGCCCTCTTGAGGCCATCTGGAGGTCCACGGAGCCCTTCGGGAGCAAAAAGACGAGAAGGCCAGAATCACTTGTTCCCCTCAAGCTGTTGAAACTGACTGGCATGTCGAAGGCCCACTTTGGGCGTCTTAGGGCAGTGTTGGGGCTACCTGGAAGCTGTATTGACATGTTTGTCTCGTCTAGTCTCGTCTTGTCTGTCCCCGCCTCATATTGTCTAATCTCGTCTCGCCGCGCCTGGTCGTCTTCGGCCGTCTTGGAGGCGTCCTGCGCCATCTTGGAGAGACAGGCCCCACGCCGAAGACTCCCCCCCCGCCCAGCGAAGCCTCTCGGGGGCTTCTCAGGGGTCTGTTCGAGGCCTCGTGGGGCCTCTTGGGGCCGTCGTGGGGCCAGCGTGGCGTCAAGTACGGTTTTGAAGCAAGCAGGAGAAAGCGCATCCATCCGACAATCGACCCAACTTCAGAGTGAAACGCGGAGATATAAGATTAGAGTATGTGCCTCGATGACGCAGTTCTTCGCAAACTAAACCATATGGGGGTTCGCTTGGGCTCTCTTGGGGTCCTCTTGGGGCCCTGGGCCGTATTGGGCCCAAGGTGGGCCCTCCTGGAACCACTCTTGGGCCATACTGAAGCCATCATGAGTCATTGAGAGCCCATCGGGGGTGAAAAGGCGATAAGGCAAAAAGCATTAAGAGCTCTTGCTTTTCAAAGAGCGTCCTAGAGAGGCTCTGTGGCCACCTGGAGCCGTCCCGGGACCGTCTCGGGGCCGCTTGGAGGCATGCTGAAGGCCATGTTGAGCCATCCCAGGCTATCTTGTGCCATGTTGGAGGCCTGTCGCGTCGTCTTGGGCCGTCTCGGAGTCCCACACCGGTGTCGTCGCCGCGCGTCGACACGAGGGGTCCACCCGGGTGGCACAAGCTAGTCCAAGATGGCTCCAGATGGCTTCGAGCATCCGTCTTATCGGCGGCGAGCCTTGGGGGCGAAGCGAGAAGGGGCGGGCCTTTTCAGAAAGCTCGAAGTCCCCAAGCCTTCTGAGAAGTTGTTTACGCCTTCCCCGAAGACACAGAAAACCTCTCAGAAGGCGGGAGGCCTTCTGAGAAGCCCCGCCGCCTTCTGAGAAGGCCTTCTCCTTCTCGATTCCCCCCCCCTCGCTCGCCGCCGATGGAAAAGGCTCAAAGACGGCCCGAAAACCGCTCCAAGCGGCAACGGAGCCTCCCAAGGACGATCCCCAAGAAGACAAACGCGTTCAAAGCTAAAACTGGGCGGCAGAAGACCTTGGACACAATAGAGGTAAGCTCTACTGCCATGGGGCCTGGAAAGCACACGGGGACCATACAATAGACCATACTGGAGACCACGGGGGAGACCAGGCGAGAGACCGCAGAGAACACCATACGGGAGACCATCTGGAGATCAAGCGGAGACGACACGGGAGACCATGAAATAGACTACACGGGAGACCGCACCAAAGACCACACGGGAGAACGCACGGGAGACCACACGGGAGACAATACGGGATACGATTTGAGAGGCCAGGCGGGAGACGCTATGGGAGACCCTACGGGAGACCAGACGGGAGACCAGACCGGAGACCAGACGGGAGACCAGACGGGAGACCATACGGGAGACCAAACAAGAGACCACACGGGAGACCAGATGGGAGACAACACGGGAGACCGCGTGGGATAGCATACTGGGAGACAGTACCATTGACTCCACGGGAGACCAAACAAAGGAGATGCGGGAGACCACATGAGATCGGGGATGGACAGAGCCCCCTCTAGCACAAGGTGGCTTAGTGAAAACGACCTCGGGCCCAAGTCTGGCGGGCGCAGGGCCTGGAAAATGACGGCCGCGGGCGCCCTCTCGAGAACCGAAAACGGACAATTCACTAATCGACGTGTCAGGGTGGGGGTTGTGTCCAACATTAGACTCCCAAGGATTACCAACATGAGATGGGGACCCCAGAGGGAGGAGCTCCGGCTCGAGACTTCCTCGCGATTCACGCACGGACGAGTCTCACGCTCGAGACATCCTGTCAAGCTGCTCAGGGACGAGACTCCCGCCCAAGAGAGATCCTCGGGACGTGGACTCCCGGGTGTCACCAATCCTTTGCTTTTACCAAATATTCCGACGGCCGCCGCGGATTGCCAAGACGGACCCAATAGTACGGGTTCCCGCTCGAGACTTCCTCGCGATTCACTCAGAGACGAGTATGCGTCCGCGGCATTCTCTCAATTTGCTCAAGGACGAAGCTCCCGCCCAAGACCTCCTGGCCATTCAAGCTCCCAGGTGTCACCACACCCGTGTTTTTACATGGTGCTCTGGTGGCCGAATCGGATTACCAACATGAGAGTGGGACCCCAGAAGGAGGGGCTCCAGCTCGAGACTTCCTCGCGATCCACTCACAGCCGAATGAGCGCCCGAAACATCCTGTCAAGTTGATCAGGGACGACGCCCCCGCTCGAGCCCCAGGATTCAACCTCCCAGATGTCACCAAATCGGCATTTGCAAAGCATTCCGATGGCCGCCTTGGATTACCAACATGAGGTGGGGAGCCCATACGGATGGTCTCCCGCTCAGGACTTCCTCGAGACCCACTCACAGACGAAAGGGCGCCCGAGACATCCTCTCAACGTGCTCAGGAACGAGGTTCCCGCTCGAACTTCGTCGGCAGTCAGGCCCCCAGTTGTCACCGACCCTGCGCTTTTACGGCGTATTCCGATGGCCCCCTCGGCTTACCAACATGAAGTGGGGAACCCATAGGGAGGGAAGGATAGGCCGCTCAAGACTTCCTCGCGATTCACCCACGAACGAGTATCCCGCTCGAGATGTTCTCAAGAGTCATGCGCGACTGTGTCAACGTGTGCGTGCGTGTGCGATTCTGCTGATGATGGCGATGATGAAGATGATGACGATGAGGCGGATGATGACGAGAATGACGACAATGATGATGATGATGACGACGATAATGATGATGATGATGATGATGATGATGATGATGATGATGATGATGATGATGATGATGATGATGATGATGATGATGCTGATGATGATGATGCTGCTGCTGATATGACGGGGACGCTGGTAACGATGATGAGGATGATGGCACTGATGATGATGATGATGATGATGATGATGATGATGACGATGATGATAATGATGATGATGGTCACGATGATGGTGGTGGTGGTGGTCCTGCGCGGGGGTGTCCAAGGGGAGGGGAGAAAACACACAAAAAAAAAAAGAACATTCTGGACTTGGGGAGCAAGGTCTGGCGTCCCTGCGCCAGCGCCAGCGTTGACAGGGCGATGCCTGTACCCTCTTATTTGATTTGCCTGACGTGCCTGCGCTCTATCAAGGGTGGCGCCTGCGCGAATCAAAACCCATGCCCGCGGCGCCTGCCTAGCAGCGCGATGGCGAAGAGATGCCTGCGCGCTATGATTTGACGCGCCTGCGATGCCTCCACCTGGCCGCGCGCAGCGCCCGCGCGGATTGATGGACTGCCCCCGCGGTGCTTGCGCTGACACCTCGATGGCGAGGCGACGCCTGAAGCCTGATATTTGACGCGCCTGCGGTGCCTGCGCCGGGTCATGCGCAGCGACTGCGCTGATAAAGCGACAGTCGACAGTGCCCGCAGTGAGAAACATACGGCTGCCATGCCCGAGCGACGCTTGCACCCTATGATTTGACGTGCCTCGATGCATGCCCCGAGTCACGCGCTCTGAGCTCCAGACACTGGCGGGAGAGGAACAGAGCGGAAGTTGGACCGCGCGTCCTCGGGGCGACGTCGCTGGTCATGCGTGGGGCAGGCATCAAGCCCCTGGGCGCAGCAAGCAACGAAGCCCGCGCTCTGGAAGTCGACGTTGCGACGGTTCACCGGTCCGCCAACCTCACCAGCAGGTCGCAAAGCCCAGGCACGGCGCTCCGCTGTGTCTTTGGCTGACATTCGGTACCGGTACATGGGAATCAAGTTTGAACCAAACTGGCCACGGATGGCGTCGCGGTGGACGGAAAAAGCATTTTCCATCGCATGCATCAACGTGTTCCGGTGTTGGCCCTGTAGCTCGCGCACGTGCCTTTCGCATGAAGAGCCAAGTGAGGACAGATCGCGAAGCAGATCCACAACCCCTATCGACAGGGGTGAAAGCCGATGCTGCACTTTGCAACCTTGCACCGCCCAGACCGAAACAGCGACCCCAAAGCGGCACATCACCAGCTGGGATGTCAATTGTCAGCGACGTCTGGCCGCCGTCATACACAGATGACGGCGTCGCCCTGGACGGGAAGATGACGGCGACGGCGGTGACGGCGATGGCGACGATGCAACCCTCGCGGCCGTGATCACGATCATCTACATTGCACCCCGTCACGCGGATCGGCTCCCAGTAGGTTTTCGCTGCTTCGTCGGGATAACATGTTGAAATGGGAAAATGCCTACAGCACAAGTGATGAAAGCCCAGGAACCGTCATTTGCTGTGCAAGCTACGCGTTGCACGACTCATGGGACAGCTACAGAAGAACGAGGAGTGAGGCCCCCAAAGGATGGCGAAGCCGCTCTGATCTGCAAAACACCGCACTAAACTACCCCCCCATCAAGAAACCCACAAAAGTGGCGACGGTTTGGCAGTTCGCAACCCCCCAGGGATGGTGGGGTCCCGTACTGATCTGTACAGCACCGCGCTAAGCTGGCCCCCCTCAGCAGCTTTCAAAAGTGGAGGCAGTCCCCCCCAAGATGGCGACACTAAGACATCACTCCGCTGTCCCCCCCAAAGCAACCCACAGAGACGACGACGGCTTCACAACGCGCGGTCCCCCAAGGATGGCGAGGTCGAATCTGAGTCCGCGTATGCCGTCAC